AAAAAAATAAAATAAAATATTCCCTTAAAAAAAAAAAACCAGAACAGACACACGTTATATAGCAAAGGTGAGGGGGTTTTCATATGTAATTAGGATCCCTAATCAGTTGATTATTTCCAATATACAGAACTGAACCACTGATACAGGTAACAGCGTGGGTGAAGAACAAATGTCTTAGGCTAAGTGGAAGAAGCCAGTGTCAAAACCGTATAATTCCATTTGCATGGATTTGGTTAAAGGCAAAACTGCCAAGAAGAACAGGTCAATGATTGCTAGGTGTTAGGGGCTGAAGGCAAGGGGCAACATAAGGGAATTTTTTTGTTAGGAGGAAACAGTTCTCTGTTTTCTGATTGCTGTGGAGGTTAAATTAATATATACATGTGTTGAGACTCACAGGATTGTACACCCCCCAAAAGGGTAATTTTATTGAATGTAAAGTTTAATAATATTTTAAAAGGCCCAGAAAAAAAGATAATAAAGGAATATGAAGAACAACTTCATAATTTTGGCCACTAAAATATAATAGACAAATTCTATACAAGATATAAGCTACTAAAGCTTATTCAAGGAAAATGGATAATCTGAATATTTCTACATCTATTGAAGAATTAAATTTGTAATCAAAACCCTACTCCAAGCCACTTATGGTAATTTACCCTTATGCCACATAATCCAATAACATAAAACTACATATGTGTCATTCATTTCAGGTTTATTTCAATTGAAAAATACTATAAAGCTCCTAAATGCTCATAGATAGGTTGAATGAACTTTGCCACACCCATACAATGTATCTGTAAAAACTAATGAAGATGTATCTGTAAGCTCATAGGGAATCATTTCTAAAATATAATGTTAAAATATGGATATTAGCTGGGTGTCTCAACCTTGGCACTACTGACATTTGAACCTGGATACTTCTGTTTCAGGGAATGTCCTGTATTTTGTAAGATATTTAGTAGCATCTCTGGCTTCTACACACTAGATATCAGTAGCGGTCCTCCACTAGACATCATAATCAAAAACCAAAAATGTCTCTAGGCATTGCCAATATCCCCTAGGTGGCAAAACTGCCCCCCAAGATGAGCCCACCGATATAAAGACTTGTAAATACATACATACATACATATTTGCATATATATGTTCATGTACATAGGTACACACATACACTGTGTGTATATATATATATATACTAAATATAGTCCAGAGGTATCACTTTTATGATAAAAAATACTACAATCCAGAAAAAAAATATTTAAGAAACACTACAATCATCTCTCACCCACTGTTCCACCCACTCCATTGGCAACCCCAGATCATATGCCTTTTCTTCCTCAGAATCAAATCATCAAAGTCAATTTTTCAAAGGAAAGACTCACCCTTCATTTCCATCTTGCTTATAAAATCAACCCCCAAAGCTACTGCAACATTCGAAAAGACACAGAAAGCCAGCTTCTCGGTGAGGGTCATCTGTGTATATATGGTCCTCACGAATACATATGGAAAGAAGGTGGCAAAATAGAGGAAACCTCCAACAGAAACAGCCAAAGTAGCTGAAAAGTAAGAAAGAAAAGACAGAGTTAGTTCAAGTAAACTACAAAAGCTTGATGTAGAAATATCCTCATCTTATTACAAAAGAGCTCTAAAATGTAGACCCTACAAAAGAAGGGAAACTGTCTTGGTCACCACCATATCACGAGCATCTAGAACAGTGCTGAACATAGACAGGTGCTCAATAAATATTTTTGCTTAAATGAATGAATAAATGGTACAGGGAATAAACTTTTCTGGAATTGATCCTCCTTCTAATGCTATGATTGTGGATATTTACTCATCTAAAAAAGGATTTGCCCTTATGTTTATGGAAACTTCCTTTTTCATTTTTATTCATGACTACTCAGCCTAACAATCTCTAGATTACACCACCACTAATCACATCATATGAATACACCTACACAGTTTACATTTATTTTGGAATTTTGGAAGATGAAAACTGAAAAAGTTGACAACAATATATTTCCAGTCTTATTTATGATACTTTGAACACTTATTTATAAATAATACTTTATAAGACAGTATATTAAAAAGACAGAGAAAAAAGTCAGTGTAACAGAGAAGCCTCTGGATTAGGATGCTATGTATCATGAGGACTGCATTATTTCAGACCAACTCTTTTAATGACAGAAAAATCTAGACAAATTATTTTTTAAGTTTGTTTATTTATTTATTTGTATGTTAAAGTATTACTTTTTAAGTATATTAAGTGACAGAGAGCTACCAGGCAAGGACAATTTATAGGGTCAAAATCAAGGTAAGAAGAGAACTCAAGAGAGGTAAGTCTAAAATTTGGTGCTAATTTTCACCTTGAAGCATTTGTAAAATCTAAACTATGGCTTAGAATCTGAGGGACTGAGCAGAGTTTTGGACAGTGTCAAAGGCGTACAGAAATTAAAACATGCTAAAGAAAAGATGCCATAATTAATACCTCAAACTTTTACTTAGGGCCCTAAAAGGCTACATCTAAAGTACAGGTGTACCAGAAATGGATCATTTTCTATCACCTCAAATCCTTATTGGATTATTATCAAACCCCTCATCTAGGAGTGCTAGAGCCCCACACCTAAATGACTGATGGATTTAAAAGTAAATCCTCTATGCAGGAAAAAAAGTTATCCAAAGACTCAAATAATTTCTATAATTTTTATATGCAATGTTTTACATTAAATAAATTACTAGGAATACCAGGTGTTATAGGTTGAATTGTGTCCACCGCCCCAATATTCACATGTTGAAGCCCTAATCTCCAGTACCTCAGAATGTGCTGTATTTAGAGATAGGGCCTTTTTTTAAACAAAGGATGATTAGGTTAATATGAGGTCAGGTCATCCTCTGGGATAGCGCTGTGTGAGTGTTAAAAACACTCCCCAAGATTCCATTCCTCTTTATGGCTGAGTAATATTCGTGTGTGTGTGTGTGTGTGTGTGTGTGTGTACACCACATCTTCTTTATCCATTCATCAATAAATGGACGTTTGGGCTGTTTCCATAACTTGGCTATTGTAGAATAATGCTGCTATAAACATCAGGGTACATATATCCCTTTGAATTAATATTTTTGTATTCTTCGGGTAAATACCTAGTAGTGCAATTACTGGGACATAGGGTAGTTCTTTTTTAACTTTTTGAGGAACTTCCAAGCTAGAGATTATTACGCTAAATGAAATATGTCAGTCAGAGGAAGTCAAATACCATATGATTTCACTCACATATGGACTTAAGAAACAAAACAAATGAGGGACACCTGGGTGGCTCAGTGGTTGAGCATCCAACTCTACCTGCCCAGTGTGGAGTCTACTTAAACAAACAAACAAACAAAACAAATGAGCTAAGGGGAAAAAGAGAGAGAGAGAAGCAAACCAAGAAACAGACTGTTAACTAGAGAGAGCAAACTGATGGTTACCATAAGGGAAGTTGGGGGCAGGGAGGAGTTAAACAGGTGATGGGGATTAGGGAGCACACTTGTTGTGATGAGCACTGTGTGTTGTATGGAAATGTTGATCACTATATCGTACACCCGAAACTAACAGAACACTGTATACTAACTATACTGGAAATTTAAATTAAATTAAATTATATTAAATTATAGAAAAAGAGGCCAGGATGTGGTGAAACAGGAACCCTTATCCACTGCTGGTGGGGATAAATATAAAATTTATAGCCACATTGAAAAAAATTGGGGAGGTTCTTTAAAAGTTAAATATAAATTTATCTTCATAATCCAACAACCCCATTTCCAGGAGAAGCAAAAACATATGTCCACATAAAGACTTGTATGTAAATAGCCATAGCAGTGTTATTCATAATGGCCAAAAATACAAAAATATAAATGTCCTTTAACCCTGGGATGGATAAACAAAATGTTGTATATCCATATAAGGAAATATTATTCAGCAATTAACAGAAAGGAAATACTCATACATGCTAAAACATGAATGGATTTCAAAATCATTATGTTAAGTAAAAGAAACTAGACTAGATATTTTAGAAGAAGAAAAGACTTCATACTTTATCCATACACACCAAATGTCTAGATAAGCCAAATTTATGTAGAGAGAAAGCAGGTAAGTTGTTGCCTTGTACCAGAGAGATAAGAATGAGGACTGACTGAAAATTAGCTCAAAGGAAATTTTAGAAGTGATGGAAAATTTCTAAAATGAGATTTGGTGATGGTTGCATAACTTGAAAAATTTACTAGTGGGTGAATTTTATGGTGTGTCTATTATACTTTTATAAAGCTGTAAAAATATGTGGTCAAAAGATGGAAACAGGCATTTTATAAAGAAAAACACACATGGTTCTTATTAACCTAAAAATATGATCAGCATCAATAATTACCAGGAAATTACAAATAACAGTACTATGAGATACCTTTCACACCTCAAAATTTGATACAAATTTTAAAAGTCTGAAACAATAGAGATACTTATCTACTGCTAGGAGGAATTTGAAATTGTACCACTTTGGAAACAGTTTGACATAACCTAGTAAGGTAACATGTTCACATATCCTACCTGAGTAAGGAATTCCACTCCTAATTATGTGTCCCAGAAAAAATCTGGTACATCTCTACCAGCTGATATACAAGAATGTTCACATCAATATTATTCCTAACAATAACCAACTAGAAACCACCCAAATACCTATCATGTGTACCTGTACAAGAGGACTCTATATAGCAGTAAAAATGAAATCACAGCCATATAGATAACACCATGTTGCATCCAAATCATATGGTGTAATTTCACTAATAAGACGAAGCAATACATTAGCTAGTGATAGATATATAAGTGAGAAAGCTGTAAAAAAAAAAAAAAAAGGTCAATCAGAATAGTGGTTATTATCAGAAAGGAGCACATAAAGCATTCCTTAGATCCTAGCAATTTCTGTTTTCCAATGTGGTATGTTGAGTACTTGGGTGAGCACCTGGGTGTTCATTTTATTATTATGTACACTGTATATACACTCTTGCATTTGTTATCTATTTCATGCCATGAAAAAACTTAAAGGACTTATAATTTAAAAAAAGATATGGAAAAGCATCAGTAGAAAAATAATAGAATGATACCACTTCATATATAGATCATTCCTGACAGAATACATGTAGTTTTATTCAGTCAAAAAGACAACTAAAACAGGAATCACAAAAAAACCAACCACCAAAAAACTTCAGATATGTAAGTAGATGGCAAAAGGGATAAAGAAGCATTTCCATAGGGGCGCCTGGGTGGCTCAGTCGTTAGCTGTCTGCCTTCGGCTGGGGTCATGATCCTGGGGTCCTGGGATCGAGCCCCACATTGGGCTCCCTGCTCAGCGGGAAGCCTGCTTCTCCCTCTCCCACTCCCCCTGCTTGTGTTCCCTCTCTCACGGCGTCTCTCTCTGTCAAATAAAATTAAAAAAAAAAAAAAAAGAAGCACTTCCATAACTTCCAAAATATAAAATTTTATATAACTCACTAATCTTCTGCTATTAAAACTTGGAATTTTTATCTGCTGATTGCATTCACTGATGCCCTTCTCACATAAACCACAATCTTAATACCTTGGTGAATTTAGGCAAAGCAAGAATTTGCTGTTCCCTCTGTGTGGCACCTTTGTTTCTCATTCACCTGCACAGCAAGAGAGGCTCTTTGAGGTTTTACCTTTATTTGAGGTGTCCTCTTAAATAATCCACCTTTAGCAGGTTCTCCAGACTTACCTTAGCTCCCTGAATTGCTGTTGGAAGAAAACACCAAAATCTCTGGTGCTCAAAGAAAATCCCAACACAAAAGCTATCTTTGGCTTTCAATCACCTCCCACCTAATTTTGGACTTTGTGTCACCTCGGCAATGTTTATAAACAGAAGGAATGTTTTTAAATATTTAATCAGTATCATAGTTGTTTTGGCCAATGAGTTGCTCCTTGGCATTGTACACTTTACCCTGCTCTTCAGCCTGACTTTGACAGAATGATTCTCCGCACTCATAGTTTTACTAGACTTCATGATAGATGGCAGGTATGACTCTCTACTTTGTAAGAACCAACCAACTGGTAGCAGTGTTATTGCTGAAAATAATAAAAATACCTATGAAATGTAAAGTTTACCATAAAGCAATTTGTTTTATAGTACTTGTACCTTAAATGACCGAGAAAAGGTAATACTCTAATTATTCAGTATATATGAAAGATATAAAAGTGTAATGGTGAATATTTGCTGTGTGAAAAAGAAGATATACTTATTTTTTTAATAAATGATAACAGAAAATGACCACTGGGGAAGTAATTGTACAAATTCCCTAACTTAGCCTAGTCTGAATTTATCCAGTCACATATTCCTCATATGTGAGAACACAAAGGGTAGAAGTCGATTCTCATGTGCTATTTGCATATTCAACATGGTTCCAGGCATGTGATGAGTGATTCAAAGACTTTTCAAAGAGCAAGTGGGTGAATGAATGAATATTTCCATATGACCCTATTTTAGTTGACACCCTACTGTCACATGCGACCTTATGTCAGTTTTTATCCTCTTTTTACAGGCATCCTCTGCTGTATTGATTTCCTGATCTTGGCCCTTCCTCTCAAATCATTTTACATGCATATGATATCTGTCTTTCTTGTTAAAGTGTAATAAGCAGAGGCTGGATATGAGGTGGCAGCTGAAGTTTAGAACGAGCTCCCAAATGAAATCCTCTTTAAAGTCAACAGAAATGCTGAGAATCTGTCAAGGGAGGAGTCTTAGACTCACCTGTATTGAAGAATGTGGAAATCAGAAAGCCGAAGGATATAGAGGCGATGACAAAGCACAGGAAAAAGACAAAGACGAGAGATGGGTCACTGTACTGGAGGACTACATCAGGTACGATCTAACAAAACAACCAGGATGCCAGTTTAGTCCTACAGTAAGAGGTGTCATAGATAAACAAGGGAGGCCAAAGAAAATACCCTTACCACTCGAGTAGCCCTAGGGAAACGGGTCACTGCTCAGAGAGATGGAAAGTTAGCTAAAAAACTCTTTTCTTGTGGAAGGGTTGCCCATCTAGGTCTAGGGTTTTGTGTGCTGATAAGCTGAGCAGCTTCTGAATTCCCTAGGGGACTCAATGAAAAATGTACATATTCTTTTGCAAACTAAAACCCACTCAGTCCATCCCCACAGTTATTTTATCCCTCTCGAACTTTAGATGCAGTGTGCTGCATTCAAATACATACTTGCCTTGACAAATAAAATCACGCACAGTAAACAGATGATAATTAAAAACATCAGAAAGAATGAGACAAAATAGGAAGCCCAGAGCATAGCATTACTGAGTCCTATCATGAGCTGGTACTCCTGTAGGAGAGGAAACACAAACCAGATGTCATGAAAAACAATTCATAGTTTTCAAAATGCATTCATAAATATTATCTGACTTATTTCCCATAAAAACTTACATAGGCTAAGTATTATCTTCCTCATTTTACAGAGAAATCAAGTCTCAGAATAGTCAAGTGACCTGATCAAAACCATCCACCTAATGAGTGGTGGAGCTACGATGCCGACTCAGAATTTTGAGTCCAGATCTTCTCCCTGATAACTTACCAGTTGCAGTTCTAAGACAAGAAATAATTAAAAATTTAAAACACAAAAAATAGGACCACCTTTCTTTTTATTATGTTCTACCTCCAGGAAGTATTAAAGGAAGGTATATAAGCTTTAATTCCATTATAGTTTAAAGCAGGGGCAGGCAAACTACAGCCTATGGGCTAAATCCAGGCTGCCTCATACTTTTATAAATAAGGCTTTATTGGCACACAGCCATGTTCGCTCATTTCCGTACCATGGCTGCATTCACCCTACGCAGAGCTGATAACTGTAATATGGCCTGCAAAGCCTAAAATATATATTATCTGGTTTTGTTTACAGGTAAAGTTTGCCATTCCCTAATTTACATAAACCCTTCTAATTTTATAGATCATAAAGCCAGACTCAAAGAGGGTGAATTGCTTCTACAAAGTTGCACAGAAGGAGCTCTCTGTTCTGTGCTCTTCCCCCTCCATCATGCTGCCTCTGTACATTTCTGAGGCCACTTTTACATCCATTACAATGAATCTGAGAGAGATTCCCCTGGTTTGAATCCTCTCTCTGCCACTTACCAGGAGTATAACCTTGAGAAAACTCCTTGACCTCTCTGTGCCTCAATGTCCTGATCTGTGAACACTAAAATCCAAATAACATAATGGGCAAGTTCGCAGAGTTTTAGTAGTGAGCTTCATGAACTACAATTCAGCACAGTATCCAAAATATGTAAAGAACTTATAAAATTCAACACCCAAAAACCAAATAATCCAATTTAAAAATGGGCAGAAGACATGAACAGACATTTCTCCAAAGAAGACATACAAACAGCCAAGACACATGAAAAGATGCTCATCATCACTTATCATCAGGGAAATGCAAATCAGAATGAGATTATCACCTCATACCTTTCAGAATGGCTAAAATCAAAAACAAAATAAACAATGCAGTTGGTAAGGATGTGGGGAAAAAAAACAAACCCTAATAATAAACTTAACTGGAGAACTGACAGACCTGTACTCTGAAACTATAAAATATCAATGAAAGAAACTAAAGATGACACAAATGGAAAGAAATTCCATGCTCATGGATTGGAAGAACACATACTGTTAAAAGGTCTATACTACCCAAAGCAATCTATACATTTAATGCAATCCCTATCAAAATACCACCAGCATTTTTCACAGAGCTAGAACAAACAATCCTAGAATTTACATAGAACCACAAAAGATCCTGGAATAACCAAAGTAATCTTGAAAAGAAAAAACTGGAGGGGAGCAGGGGAAAGATGGCAGAGGAGTAGGGGACCCTATTCCAACTGGTCCCCGGAATTGAGCTGGATATCTACCAGACCACTCTGAGCACCCATGAAATCAGCCTGAGATGTAAGAAAATAGATCTGGATCTCTACAAACAGAATATCGTGGGCAGTTGGTTTCAAGGTACGAAGCGGGGAGCCATGACACCACAGGCAGATACCGGAGGATAAACAGCAGCGGGAGGGAGCCTGGCTGTGGGGATCCTACACCATCATTGAGCGACAGCCTCGCGCGCTGGGGACAGGGCACAGACTCGCAGACCGGCAGTGGCAGAGAAAGGACTTTAGGGCAGCCCCCGGGAGGGAAACCCGGAGCAGCGGGGTCACGCGTGCGAACTGGGAGCGGCTGGGGGTTTTAGAAGCACAAAGGGCAGAGATGTGCCCTGACCTGGAGGCAGGACTGGGGGCACTGTGGAGGGGCGCACAACCTGGGCTGCTGCAGTTTATAGCAGCACAGACAGAAACGGAAACAGTGTGGCCTGGAGAGCTCACTGAAGAACACACTGGGATCTCTCTGCTCTGAGGCAGAGGGTTGGAAACGGTCTCTTCTGCTCTGACTCGTGGAAGAACGCGGAAAGCAGCCAGGGAAAGCCGCCAGAGAATAAAAGCCCCAAAAAACTGGTTCCCACTGAGACAATCCCTCGCCTCAGGGGGGCAGGGCAACTCTGCCCAAATAGGGTTGCCTGAGTAACAGTGTGACAGGCCCCTCCCCCAGAAGACAGGCTGGGAAAACAAGAGGCCCGCAACCCTAAGGTCCCTAGAAAACAGGTGCATCTTGCTTGGATTCTGGTCAATAATTTGGACTCTATACATTCCCTCAA